ACAAGAAACACATTAAACTCTAAAGGGAATTTATAGACTGAAAATCAAAGGAAAGAAAACACTTGTTCTATGCAATAGGAGACCAGAAGAAAAGCAAGGATAATTTTCCCATCAACTACAGAATGGGTAAGAAAGATATGGGATTTTCATACAAAGGAAAGCTACCCAGCTATAAAGTAGGATAATCTTGAAGCTCTTTTAGGTAAATGCATATAACTGGAGATCACGCTCATGGGTGAAATGGTTTGGACTCATACAGGGAAACACCAGGTTATCTCCCTACCATAAAATCTGAAGGAGTTAGTGGGATTCGAAAGCACAATAGATATTATAAAAGTGATAGAGGAGGAAATGCCTAAAAAGAGAAAGTTTTAACCACTGTTAGTTTCCTATTATCTTGTTTGGAATTCTTGTATTGTTTGCATAATTTTATTAGCTTTGGTTTTACTCTGTCTTGTTTGGTTACATTTACTGTGTCTGATGAACAAAATAGCTGATGAGCAGCTATTTTGAAGATAATGGGATGCATTATGGTAACCACTGTTGATTTCCTTTTATCTTGTTTTGAAGTTCTGTGTCACTTGCATTGTTCTGTTCTGATTTGCTTTATTCTGTTTTGTTTTATTCACTTTAAAATTTAAAAAATGAAAGAAAAAAGAAAGAAACAGTCTTCCCAAACTTGAACCATGTTTCCAAACTCAGTAACTCCAAATGTGACAAATCTCCAAGTTCAGGAATCAATATTTGATAAAAGATCTTTAAAACATCGTATCTGTGAGCTGGTGAATGCCAGATAAGCATCAAAGTTTACTAGAGACTTGAAAGGATAATTGAGGAACATACAAGTTTTATAGGTATAGGACAGACATTTGTGTATATGTTTATTGAAATGTTGCTTGACTCAAGAAAGATTTTGTGTTACATTTCCAATCAATAAGTGAAAAAAGAGATAATGAGATAGTTTTATAATATTTTTTGAAACTCACCCTGTTTCAGACTCCAGTCCAGGTTTGTAACTTTTAATAAATACACTAAAAGTAATATAGATGGTGATAGCCATGTATACTTAAGTATATAATATTTAAATCTTCTGGTTTCGTGGAAATTATGTGTGTGGCCAAGTTAAAATATTCAGTTATGTAGGCTTCAGATTTTTGGTAAATAAAAAAATTTAAATGATATCAGTGGGTTGAATTCCTACCAAAGTAGTAAGTACATCCTCCAAACACAAATAATTTACCTGCTGATTGGAGGCGATTCACTTAACAGGCTGTCAGGTGTTCGCTTCACCAAACAAAATAGGGAAATCGTCTATTCATATTTTCTTTTCTGAGAAAAGCTTTCAGCAAAATTGCTCAGGAGAAAAGTATCAAAACATCTATGTATAATACCAGAGCATGTTTGTCTGAACTGTGCATTTACGTGAACGCTGAGATGTGAAGACAAGTGTCTGTGTCATCAAAACCAACTGAATTGAGTTCCTTCACCTAATCACACAGGGGAAGATTCTAAATTAGGGTTTCATGCAGTGCTTCATCACTGAAAGGAGACCAGCTTGTGATGTTCGAAAAAAACAAAATGCAGAAAAGAAGTGAGAAACCTACCATTCCGTGAGCTAGACAAAACAGATGTGAGGCTGTGAGAGCCGGGCAGGTGCTTGGTGAGGGAGACTCCACCAGATATTCATGACATGACTGGCCATGGGAAGAGTGGTCCTGCAGGAGCCCACCCACGGGGGACGTCACCCCTGGGCTTTGGGCTGTACCAAGTGCCTACCCCAGGTCAGCAGGGCCCTACCCTAAATCAGCATCAGTGCTAGCCCCTGTAATGTAGCACTTTTTTTAAAAAATATTTTTATTGGTACACATTTGCAGTATATAATGATTGCATACATTTATGGCAGTTGATGCATGCACATCAAAAACATAATTGTTTTTTCTTTTTTTCATCTCCTATCCCTCCCTCTTCTCCCCATACCAACTTTTAGTCCCCTTCCATTTGTAAAATCTCTATTTTCAGGATTTTCTCACTTTAGTTCTTTTTCTTTATTCCTCTCTCACTTTTCTTTAAAAACTCATTATGAAACTAATAGTGACCATACTTTTATTTATATTAACTATATATTATTAAATATATATATATTTATAAATATAAATATATATATAATATATATATATATCAAATATATATATTAACTATATATATTTGCCTGAAGAAACAAAGAACCTAAGGAAAATCACTCTCCAAAAGTCTGCAAGTTGAACAAATGGATACCAAACAGATAGAACAGAATGAAAAAGTAGCTAAGTCGCATACAGCCAAATCCGAAAGTCAGGCGAGAAACTAAATTGTGGGAGAATGTTCCTTTACACATACAGCTCTTTGGATAAGTAATAAAGGTGATATTTTAAGAAAATAAGTTGAAAAGTAATGTTCAAAATGTATGAGAGCAGAAAAAAATCAGTTTCACACAGGGATGAAGGTAACACCAAAAAATCTAAAAACTAGTATTTTTGCATCATCTTACAGTTTGACAGGGGTTTGTTGTTTTTGTTTTTGTTTTTGTACAGGGAATCGAACTCATGACCTAGCATTGACCACCGAGCTAAGTCCCCAGCCCATGCTGAGAGTTTTGGTGCACATGTCACTTTGACTTTCACAATAACCCATGGTGGTATAGACACTGAAGATGGTGTCTTCGTCCTGTGGATGAGGGACAGAAGCCTAGAGCAGTGAAATGAAGAGGTCAGAGTCATGCAGCGGAAGTCAGCCAAGCTAGAATTGAAACCTGTGACCCCTGATCCAGTTCCATTGCTACTAACATGATTGAGTCCTGAATAAACATGGTAGCAGCAATGAAACGAGGAAAGCCTCAAGGACTTTGAAACAGGAAAAGGAAGAATTTGGTTATTGAGATAGATGATGAAGAAATGGAAGAAGGAAAAGATAATTTCGTTGGTTACTTAAAACCTGGAAGCTAGTGGAATTATTATGCCGTAATGTTGGTGACAGGCCTACTGGATGCCAGGCCTGTGTCCAAACATTTTGCCGTGTTTCTTCATGTAGTAGTCACTTTGCTGCCACTGTGACACAATATCTGACACCCACAACTTAAAGGAGGAGGTTTATTTTGGGTCCCAGTGTCAGCCCATGGCTGGCTCCAACGCAAAGGTATCATGGCGGATAAGCTTGGTGGGGGAAAGCCACTCACCTGTGGCAGCCAGGAAGCAGAGCATCAGAGGAGCGGCCAAGGACAGGAGGACATCTTTCTAAGACGATGGGAAGGGCATTTGGCATGGAAAGAAGGGGAGGGGAGGAGACGGGGAAGTAAAAGAACTAAAATGCAGCATGCCTGTGTTCCGACTCCTCATAATGAGCGTATTCCTCATGTATCACAAATGTTTATTATTTAAAAAAAAAAAAAAGCATGTCCTTCCAGGTCGCCCCTCACAGCAGTGATTCATCTCTTCCAACCAGACCTCAGTGGCCCACACATGAGATTTTAGGGGACATTTTAGCTCTAAGCCATAATGCCCCCACTGCATTCTCTAGCAGCTCTTAGAGAGAAATTATTAACATCCCCATGTTACACAGGATATACACGAATGGCGTTCTCACTTTTACAGAAAGAAAAGCATCGTCAGTGCTTTTGCTGCAGGACAAGGTTAAACTTGGTGTGACTTGGGGACCAAATCTCAGAGTGATGGCTGGTATCTGTATGCATGGGTGTGCTATGATGCTAAGTAACCACGTTAGGCCTGGGGGGGGTCATGACACTTCAAATGCAGCCCTCCAAGACTATCTGTTTACTGCCTCTTACCTACTGGATCTGTCCTTAAAATAGCTGCACTCAAAAAATGGTTTTGCCTGGCCCCTTGCCTAATTTCCTGATTTTGACTCTAGCTTCTTCTTTCTTGGTCAAATATAGAGAGGAAAACAATTTACACATAAAATAAAGTGAATGATATATGCAAAGATGGTTGGCCAGGTAATCAAAGAGACACAGAAAAGAATACTTCTGTCTTCAGTTACTATTTAAAAATAAAAGTATAACTAATTATCAAATGACCATTTATATTAATACTGAGCTTATGCAGAATATACTGTTTAAGTTAAAATTCTTAGTTTGGTGTGTTGGCACGTGCCTGTAATCTCAGCACTCAGGAAGCTGAGGCAGGAAGATTGCGGTGAGTTCAAGGCCAACCTGAACTATATAGTGAGAACCTATCTCAAAAGAAAAAAATAGAAGCTAAAATTCTTAAATACAAGAACCTTCATTCTTGTTGCTTGTTGTATTTATTTAATAGTTATCAGTTACTGTAGCATAAGCCTGGTTTTCCCCCTTAATTAACCAGTTCACATCCTGATCCTCTGCTTGTCTGAGATCCTTAATCTAAATCACATACCTGTTGTACACATCTCCCTTTAACCTTCCAAATGTTAGCTACTCTCACTTAAAACTACTGCGGGGGGAAAAACCCTGCTCTAATATTCTGCTTTTGACCTCTGCTTCCTCTTTCTTGCTCAAATATGGAGAGGAAAACAATTTATGCTTAAAGTATACAAAAAAAGATCCTAGACATCTTTCCACATAATAGTTGATCTTACAGCTAATTTCTAAAAGCTCCAAACTGTCTCTTTGAGTATGAACCTGCTAGTTATTTTTTCACTAAGCTGCATGTAAGAGTCTCTTAGCAACCCTGAGCTTCATGGGCAGCATCCTAACTTGCCTCTGATACCACCTGTGTGTAGGTAGTCAGCTTCCTTTAAAAGGCTTGGAGTTATTCAAACAGGAATGCCAGAATTTAATTCTCTTTGAAAGTGAAAGAAAACATAAGTTTTCATAAGGACATGAATTGATTTCTTACCAGGAGATTGGGGGAGTGGGGCTCACTCTTTAGCTGCATTGGGATGGATGCAAGGGAAGGAACATTGATCTTGCAGCTCTTTAACCCCAATGCAAAAGGTCAGGGCTCTCAGTGTCTTTCTTTCTCTTCCAGGATTGTGAAGATGTCCAGTCCCAATCTGAACATTGTGACTTTATTGGGAAGCTGTCTGACTTACAGTAGTGCTTACCTCTTTGGAGTTCAAGATACTTCATTGGGTTGCTCAATGGAAACTCTCATCCAGGTAGGTGATGTTCTGAGTAAAACTACTCCTGTGGGTGCGGTTTCCTGTGTCTTTGATGTGCATGTATTCAGAAGCAATCACTGGCAGAGGGTCAGCGAGGCCCACTTCCTACCCCATGCCCTGTGTAGGCCTGAGGCTTTGCAATCAGACTGCATAAAGCAATGAAGGTTCCTTTTGTGACTTGTGCATGTGTCCCCTTCTACTTGTAGGTAAGACTGTCCCTGCTGTGCATTGGGACCTCTCTTGTGTTTGGCCCCATTCTGGGGAAGAGCTGGCGACTCTACAAGGTGTTTACCCAGAGGGTCCCGGACAAGAGAGTGGTGAGTAGGCAGCCACTACACAATGCTAGATTGCATACAGCAGCTCCTCTGAAGATGGAAAGCTAGAGAGGCTGATACAGATCACCAGGACTCATTCCTCTGAGAATAACTTGAAATTCTTGTTCCTCCCTTTACACCTTGAAGTCATGTGGCCTTATAAAGCCCCAGGCTTTGAAGGCTGTGAGTCATTATTTTGGAAGCTGTTCTTGACCTGTGCTGTGCTTGTGCACCCATCCCGTGCCCCATGGGCGCCTGTGAGCAAGCCAAAACTAGCACCAGTGTGAAGAAGCGTAAGACATCCAGAGAGACTGTTGTTTGCTTGGCATGGGTGTGAGCTGGAAGGAAGAGAGGGTGATCAGAGAAAACCTGTAGCAAGTAGGCAAAGTATCTCCCCCAATACCCTGACCAGCCCCGAGCCCAGGTCTTCTCTATGCAGAGGGCAGTTCTCTGTGTTGACATGCAGGGAGAGCTGTAAGAATCCACATCAAAAGCAAAGTAGCAGCCAGATCACCTACATGCCCTTGATATCAGGCATCACTGTAACCACGTCCCTCCATTTTATCAGGTTTCCTGATGAAACTGCCCGGACTCAACACCTAACCATCAGTCTCTTTGGCTGGAGGTTCAGCCCAGACCCAATGTGTTGTTCAGCTGAAGTCTACTTCTCTGAAATAATGGGATTGTTTAAGCAAGCATTATTGAGTCATGCTGATTATTTATGAAAAGCTCAGCTGTGAGTAACTACACATAAGATGATGATTGCCTCAGAGGACAGAAAGTTCATCTGTCCCTCTAGAAGACTGATTCTTTTTTCAAAAATATCTTTTTGGGCATAATTGATGTGCAGTGAATTACATGTGTTGAAAGACTGTGGTTTGATACGTTTGGTGCATGCACACCCATGAAGCATCACCGGAGCAGTTTTCTCAGGCCCTTCTGTTTTCCAATCCTACATCCCTGTCCCTGTGCTGAGGCATCACTAATTTGCTCACTGTCCTTATGGATTGCTTTGTATTTCCCAGAGTTTTATGAAGATGGAGTCCTACAGAATGTACTCTTTCTTTGCTTAGCTTGAGTCACATAATTATTTCGATGAATACTATAATTATTCATCCATGTTACTATGGGTTTTAGTAGTTCTTTTCTTACAACCTCCAAGTGGTATTTCAGTGGGTTGATGGATGTTTGAATTATTACCAGTTTGGGATTATTAAAAAAAAAATAAAGATACTATGAACTTTCACGTATACATCTTTCTGTAGACATACACTTTCATTTCTCTTTGATACAAATTTAAGAGTAGACTAGTTGGTTTATATGACAAGTACATATTTAAGTTTCTAAGAAAGCCCCAATTGTTTACCAAAATGATTGTGTGAGTCTACATTTCTGCCAACAGTGCTTACAAGTCCATTTCCTCTAATCGTCCTTGCCAGCATTTGATTTGGTCAGATTTTTTTCATTTTAGCCATTCTTGTAGGGGTGTAGAAGTCTCTTACTGTGATTTTAATTTACATTTTCCTACTGCAGTGTTGAGCGTCTTTTCACATGCTTATTTTCCATTTACCTTTTCTTGTGAAATGTCTCTTCAAGTTTTTCACCTATTTTTTTCTAATTTCGGATGTGAATTTCAAATGACATGCCACACACTATTGTCATTAATTAGTTATCTTTTAAAGACATTTAAATAATAAAAATGACTCACATTTTCCTTATAGTTACCATTTCCAGTGCTCTTAATTTCATGTATAAAGCCACATTTTCATGTGATACCATTTTCCTGTTAAAATCGGGAAGAGACCTGACATTCTCATAGGAGGATGCTATGCTAAAACCTTTCAGCTTCTGTATATATGAGGAGGTCTTTATTTTTCCTTCATTTCTGAAAGAGTGTCTTTTCTTTTCGTTTTCTTTCTTTTTTTTCTTTTCTACTGGGAATTGCACCCAGGGCTTTATACATGCTACACAAGTGCTCCGGCACTGAGCTCTCACCCCAGCCTCTAGCGCATCTTCAGGAGTTTGAAGTAACCCTGCACAGTGTTCACCGCTGGCCATGGCCTGTGAGAAGGCTGGTATCTTCCTTACACATAAGGTCTTTTTTCTCTAGTTGCTTTGAATAACCTCTCATTATTATTGGTTTTGGGCGGTTTTCGTAGGCAACTGATTCATTTTTATCTTACAAACACCTTGGAGCACATCACCAGAAGGGCTTCTTTCTTTCCATTGGTTGTCTGTCCAAAGCTCAGATGCCCACTTTTGCCCTGCCTCATCAGCACTGTGGACATTCCTCACCTGAGCCTTTCTCCGATTTCTTATTTTCTCTCTTCCTTGGTGTTTTCCAGTGTTTTACCCTGTCATAGTATATATTTTTCCTTAGCTTTATTTTTATGATCCTAAAAGTAACATATTCCCTTCATATGAAATCAAATAATATTTATGTTCATAAAAAACTGTTAGTAGCTCCCCATCCCTGTACCTGCCTCTCAGCTCCACACTCTGGGTTGGCAGTTGTTAGCAGTTTGATGTTAAAACCTTCACATTTCTCTATGTGTTCATATAAACATATCTAGAAATAATAGGGTTTCTATTTCGTCAGGCCTCTTGAATCCTTTCTCAGAAAAGATAGATGCAGGAAAGTTTCAGCAATGAAAACATTTAGTGATAACAATGATGAAAACAATATAAAGATCATTGTAGATGTTTGGTGTCTGTTTCATTTTTGATGGCTGTGTTTGAAGCTCTTGGGAGGGCTCTTCCTGGAGCCCATGGCCCACGTGAAACCCTCTGGCCCCTTTGTCATGTAGCCGTCATGCAAACGGACATTTTGACCTTGACTCTTTTTGCAGATTATCAAAGACCTGCAGTTACTGGGGTTGGTAGCTGCCCTGGTGATGGTTGATATGGTCCTGCTTGTGACATGGGTGCTGACTGATCCCATCCAGTGCCTCCAGATCCTTGGTGTCAGCATGACGGTGAGTGGACCAATCTCTGAGGAGTCTTAATTCCTGCCCTGGGCTGGCCTCTGTGCTACACAGGATCATTTTCACAGCAGCATCTACTGAGTGGCTGTCCCTTGCCATCTTGTGGACACCCCCTGAGGTGGCAGCACCTTGGAGCCTGCCTAGAAGTTATGTCTGCTTCCACATCACTAATAATGAGAACTTTTAGCTATGGGAAGTTAAGGAAGTTGGCTTCCTTAATTGTTGAGAGAAGCTGAAGTAGTATTTTGAGGCAGCTGCTTATCCTTGGTTTAAATCCCCATTCAACCATGCTCACCAACCATGTGATCTTGAGAAAGTTACTTAGCCTCTCAAAGTCTCTTTTCCAGATAAGGTGCAGATGATAATACTGCCTATCTTGTAGGGCTATGGTTAGGATTAGGAGAAACAAAAAATAAAAAATAAATAAAAAAGATTAGGAGAAACAATTCAGGAAAAGGACATAATGTGCTTGGCACATGGTATTCTATTAATAGAAAGTATTATATGTCTCCAGCCTCATTGGAGGCTGAGGAATATAGTGGAATTATGACACTGTAAGATCTAATGTACTAAGGATTCAGCTGTTTGCCATAAGGCTCTGTAATCTGCAACTTTGCTGAGGCATTATTTGCAGTCATTGTGCAAGCCAACCACATGACCAAGAGGAAGTCCTGCCCTCTGGCATCCACACGTTCACCTAACTTTACCATCTCTTCCTGCAACTTAGACCCACTCGTTTAGACTCTGATGGAGTTACCTCACTTGCATATTTTCTTTTTTTTTTTTTTTTTTGTACCGGTACCAGTGATTGAACTCACGACCACGCGCTTGCAAGGCAGGCACTTATGCCGCTGAGCTAAATCCCTAGCCCCTATATTTTCATTTTTATATAGTGGAGGGAAAATTATATGTTGTAGAGAAGTACATAGTTTAGGATGTTTGCAAAGATCTGCTGTGCGATCTGGAAACTGTAGGTGCCCTCAGTCCTGACCCTGTGTCCCTCCTAGGTGACAGGGAGAGATGTGTCCTGTTCTTTGACCAACACACACTTCTGTGCTTCACAGTACTCCGATGTCTGGATTGCTCTCATTTTGGGATGCAAGGTGGGTGACCATATTTCTTTGGGTGCCATCTATTTCTCACAAACACAATGGATATGAAAAGAGAATTGAAGAAATTTAGCAGAATCTCTTAATTAGTAATGTCTCCAAAGAATCTTGGACTCAGAGGAAACTTTGTTGATGTGTAAATCTCAAGGCTGTGACTCTTTTTATTTCTCTACACTTTATGTTTGCAGGGTCAATTTTCCAACTCTTTGGATGTCTTCATTGAGTCCTCCTTGTGTTAGTCCACTTTCTGCTTTTGTGACAAAATACCTAAGAATAGTAGTTCAAAGGGAAATTTTTTACTTTGGCTCATGTTTCAGCCCTAGTCAGTTGGCTCTGTTGCTACTGGGTCTGTAGCAAGGCATGAACACCACGGCAGAAGGGTGTGTAAAGGAAAACTGCTCACCATATGGCGGCGAGGAAGGGGAGGGGTCACGAGAGAAGAGATTGGAAACAGGCTGGTCCTCCCAGTCCTGTCCCTACTGACGTGCCGTATCCAGTTAGGCCCCACCTACAAAGAATCCAGGATCTCCCAATACTGCCATTGGGAGGTGGAGGGAAAATTGTATGTTGTAGAGAAGTACATAGTTTAGGATTTGGAAGGTGACTGGATCATGAATAACTGCTGATGGGTTCACCTGTCCTTGGACTCATTTGTCTCCATTAGAGGAACAAGCATAGGATACTGTTTCCAGAGGGCAGGACACCTGTGCACCAGGGGGATGTCCTTAGCACAGACCATCAGCAGTTTACAGCTTAGAGAGGTGAGAGCTGGCCCTGAGGGTATACAGCAGGCCCACTTCCATGAGGCTGCTGTTGACCACTGGAGCAGAAAGGTCTGGGTAACTGATCGTTGGGGATGTTTTTGTAGCAATGGTGACCTTTAAAGGCAACCTTCACTCTCTCCACCACTAGGAAGATGTTGGAGGTGATTACTTCTAAGGGACAGTCCCTGGGATGGGCAGGCTGCACCAAAGAAACCGTGCTTTTTCACTAGGTGCATACATTACCTTGATAGAAATACTTTTTAAAGAAGGCTCCCAAAAGTGAACAGCTCTTGATGACTTGTATCTTGCTAGAGGTTAGGGAAATAAGCCTCAGAACGTAAAATAGAGAATTTGAATTCGGCCTCGGCACCTCCCTCACTGACCATGGGCCTCATTTAACCTCTTGGAGCCTCAGTTCCCTAATTTTTGAAATAGAGACTTTGATGACTTTCCCCCCAGAGCTGTGCAGAGCTATGAAAGAGTCAGAGCTGGACAGAATTTCCAGCCTCTCCTGGCCTATTGCAAGAGCTCAATATTAGATCATAGTTAGATTCAGTTATGACCGTTTTCCCATGGCCTCTGGACAGATGTGAGACTCCCAGGGCCTCTCGCGGGTCCCCAGGTCCCTGCTGCAGAGCTCATTGTTCCCAGCACCCACACATTGCATCTTTGTGCTGCCCACCTTGTCCTCTGCATGTGCCCGTTCCCATTGTGATCACTGTAATATTGTTCAGAAGATAAAAGAAGAAATGAGGAAAGAGTATGGCCCCTGTGTGGCCTGTGAGGGACTCCTGAGACAGTGCTGATCTCCACGTGGAGTTCTGGGAGCGCCCATTTGAGCCCGCCACCTCCCCCAACCCTTCTCAGCGAAGGCAAATAACATACAGGGACCACGTGTGACAACTCAAACCAGAGCCGTGAGCATGTAGGAGCTTTACTCACGCCATTTTCCCTTTAAGCAAGAATTTAATGAAGTTAAAACATTTTATGAGAAGCCTATTTAAACATTTCAGGGTCACAGTATTAATTTCGTTTACCTTTGATTCAAGTACGAATGATCCAACTCTTCCAAATGCCTCCTGGTAGTATCAGTTACCCAAGCACTGGACCCTGCTGGCCTCCTGAACTCTATGTCCTCTGGTCATTGATCGACTCAAAACGGCTGCTAGGGTCAGCCCTTTGGCTCCATGTGGGACCCTGGGCATTAGAGCTACCTGGGAGCCTGCTCTGCCGAGCCAATTTCTTCCCTCCTGGTACACTGGTGCTCCAGAAATTCTCTCTAGGGCCATCCTGGCCAGAGGAGCTGGACGGGGACTGGAAGGGGTCCTCTGACACCTGGCCTCACTGTTATCACCCTGACCACACGCTCCCAGCCTCACCTCATCCCCCACAGCAACACCACGTCTGTATTAGAGCAGGAAAGCTTTGCTTTCTGTGTGTATGCAGCTCCTTCTGGAAAAAGCACCAAGAGTCAGGAGTTTTTCTCTTAGCACAGGCAAGAGCACCAGAGCAGTTTATGTCTATGGAAAGAGGAAAGCATTGGCCTTGAGGCCCTTGTGCTGGTGCAGACTATCACAAAGCAGGGAGCATATAGACAGAGGGACTGCAGCCCACACCTGCTCCTCACTCTTGCCCGGGACCCAGCCTGCCTCATCCCCTTCTTGCCCACCCTCCGTGCCCGCTGAGTCCATCCACAAAAAGCCACAGAAAGTGGCTGTGGTCTTCTGCACTGGGGCAGCCTCCTCTCCAGGCAAGCACAGTCTTGGTGAGCAGATGGCACCTTTGGGTGGATTAGAACCTCTCCCAGCTCACCCACCACTGCCTACTGTGACAAGCAGACCACAGGTCACTGTCAGCTCCTGGTGCCCCTCAGCTCTGCTCAGCGCAGAACCAGACAGTGGATGTGGTAGCACCCACCAGCAGCAGGGTTACCCCTGCCCTCCTGGTCCCCATCACCCCTGTTGGTAGAGCACCGTCCACCCATGGAAGCCTGTTCTGTGCTTGTCCCAGAAGAGTCCTGCATGATGGCTGGCTTACTGACCTAATGAACTAATTCTTAGTGAAGGAAAGGAAAGTAGCATTTACTAAGCCTCCACTAGGTACAAGATATAATTGAAACATATGGTGAATGTTTAAATTTTTTTACTTCTTACAGTAAAAGCATATAGCCATGAATCTTTAAAATAGTCCCCTCACTCCAAACACAGTGACCCCATGGTTCTCACCACTTTCTGAAGCAGTTCTGGAGTCCTCTCGTGAGTGGCTTTAGTTACACTGTCACGCCTGCCTCCTGAATCGATTCAAAATATTCACCTTTCACGGTCCCTTTTGACTTTAGGGAAGAACCAGAGTTGCACAGTGCCACATTCAGCAACTAAGGTGGATAAGGGCGCACCAGCATAATTACAGTGTTAAATGGCTATAAATGTGTGAGTAACAAGGTATGATCAGAAATGCAGTGAATGTTTCAATGAAGACATTTATGACAGTGAAATCTCAAAACACTCCCCTTCACTTTGAGCTCCCTAGCAATGCGTCTTTTTACTGTAGTAAGATTTATTTTGTAAAACATAAACATTCACTGTGTATTTCAATCACCCCTTGTCTAAGGGGTGGCCGCAAGGGTTTCCCTGTGTGCTAAGACAGCAGATCCTCACAGCAACCTATAAGGTAGATGTTACAGGCACAGGTTTACAGATAGGAGCATCAGTTTCAACCTTGCTGTCCTTTAAGCTGTCCCCTGCCCTCGGTCCCCTCTCCACTGCAGGGGCTCCTCCTGCTGTATGGTGCATACCTGGCTGGCCTGACAGACCACGTCAGCTCTCCTCCTGTGAACCAGTCCCTGGCCATCATGGTTGGGGTCAACCTGCTGGTCCTGGCTGCTGGGCTGCTCTTTGTGGTCACCAGATACCTGCATTCCTGGCCCAACCTGGTCTTTGGACTCACATCTGGAGGCATCTTTGTTTGCACGACCACAATCAACTGCTTCATCTTCATTCCCCAGGTACGCTCGGGGGAGGGTTTTGCATGGTGGACCTCAGTCATTCTGCAGTTTTTACAAGGGCTGGTGAGTTTCTCATTTTGTTTTCTGCTGATACCTTTCCATGCCACGGGGTGACGAGTAGAAAGGAAGATGGACCCCCTCTGTCTTTCTTCTCCCTGGTCCCTGGGTGAATGTCCCCTGCAGGGCACCCTGGGCACAGGAGCACCTACCCAGCCTCCCACCACTCCACTTGGCTCCTCCCCAGTGCCCACTGCCTCTCTGGGGTGTTACTTCTTTGGCTAGTCTGGGAGGAGGAACTTTGTCTTCCTTTCCAATTTGGGATTGCAGATTTCACAAAACAAAATCCGAAAATTCATGATTTAAAATGCTTTTCCTCTTTTTATGGGAGGAAACAATAGAACATTCCTCTTCTTTTTACAAGGAGAAATAGAAATGTGCTTCATGTTAGGAGGATTAAGAAAAAGTCATATACAGGAGGAGAAGAGAAGCAGAAATATCCAGACAGCAAAGAGAAGAAATGGCGTTAGAAGGCAGGAGAAGGAATCCATAGGGTTGAGGGAAATGGACGTGGAGTTGTCCCTGCTGTGCCCGCGACCGCTGAGTGGCTTCCACCCAGTGAATGAACTGAGCATTAGCACTTTTCTTCCTGGATCCTAGCAGCCCCGCCCCATGTCCCCCACACCTTCACCGCAGGCGTGGCCAGGTCTTGAAAGAACAGAACTTCCAAAGTTCTGGGCCCGTCTCTTCCTGGCTCTAAGTGCACCTCTGCCTGGAAACGGTTCCCAGCTAACAGGGACTTCCTTCAGGGGACACATGCAGATGAGCTAAGGGTGTCTTAAAGGGCATCCCTGTTTCCTTAAGAAGAGAGTCCAGCTGGGGCTGATACCCATCTGGTGGACAAGGCCAAGGTGTGGCAAATAGTTTTTGTTTCTGCTTTGAAACACTAGGGAGAGAACCCAGTAGCTGAGATATAACTTCAGCTCTTTTTTTTAAATTTTGAGACAGTGTCTTGTTAAATGGTCCGGGCTAAGCTCAAACTCTGAGAGGCTGAGGCAGGAGGATCTCAAGCTGGAGGTTGGTCTGATTCAGTAATTTAGCAAAATCCTGCCTCAGAATAAGGAAAAATAAAAAGGGGTTGGGATGTACCTCAGTGCAAAGGCCCTGGGTTCAATCCCTAGTTGCGGGGGCCAGAATATTGGATTGAAGGAAGCCAGTAATGGCAGAGGCTTTTGCAAACTCAGGCTCTGAAAAGCAAGGGCTCTTCCTTGAGAGGAAGGGGTAAAGGAGGAGAAAAGGATTTTCCTCTTAGACTCTGTGGCCAACATTATTGATTGGTGAACCTCGCGCCAGCGGCACGTTTTCTTTGCATGTCTCTATTATTTAGCCTGAAAGAGCTAAGCATTTCCTTTACCAACTTCCTTATAGCTAGAAGTGTTCTGTGATACTGTTTTCTAGGAGGCCTCTGAGAAAGCCTTTTCCTGGAAAAAAAAAAAAAGTCATGACTGGCATGCCTCTTTTATCTTCTTCCTATCTTGAACGAATGTGATACCTAGAGGAATGGCAGCCTTTTTGTGACCATGAGGGGAAAAAGAACCCAATAATATATTTACTATATCAGGAAGACAGAGCTCTTCCTGTTAAGGCTATAAAGTCCTATAAGACCTCTGTCTGGTATCCAGAAAGGGGCCGTGGCCCATTTCCTCACCTCTCCACTGCCCCCTTACAACAGAGGCCTCTGTGCCCGGGCTTTGCATCCTCTAGCTGTAGGACAGTAACAGTGTCTCAGTACATGCCTTCCCGCACCCAGTCACAAGTGCAGCAGGACTCGCAGCTTGAAATCTGACTTCCGGTTGTAACTGAGCCGCCAGGGCTTTGTTTGTAGAGGTGGGAGGGGAGCCGCACTGCTTTTCTTTCTTCTCCCCGAGGCACGCTCCCTTTCCTCCCTTCCTCCCTAGGCTTCCTTTCTCCTACCTTACATCTCCTCTCAGGCTTTTTCTCATGATGTAGAATAAAAAAATATATTTTATGTTCTGTTGTATTTTATTAGGAAATTAATTGGGGATTGAATCCAGGGCCTTCACATTGGCCTACATGCCTAACGGTTTTTTAAATGGTGTTTTATTTTGAGAGGTTTCATCAGCTTGCACAGGTTGGACTCAAACTTGTGATCCTCCTTTTGCAAAATATAATAATTCTTGAGGTTTGTCCCTACATCGAGTTTCCTCTCTGGCTCGGAGGTCTTCAGAAGAGCTGTTCTGTGACACGCGTGTCCCCAGGACAGTGGCAAAGCTGAGTAAATTTGGAAATGAAGGCAAGAAGAGGTTCAGGGCAAGGTGGGTTCCTGGGGCCTCAAGCTTCAGGCTCGGCTGGTGGGGCTTGGTGAAAGCAAAGGCCTGATCCTCCCAAGGGCCTCTAGGCGGCGCCAGAGAGCTGGTTCAAAGGAAGACAATGAGGCAGAAGACTTTTTACTCCGGAAATGCCTAAGTGTTGATGCCAAGCGCTGAGGTCATCACCAGCAATCAGGCCGCCTCTGCCTTTGTGACTTCAGTGCGACCCGCCCGCACCACCCCGCTCTCAGATGCAGGAGACAGATTCCTCCTGGGAGCCTGAGTGTTTCTTCTGCTCCTCTGTGGCAGGACCCTTGCAAGGGGCTTTCTGTTCTGCTCTCTGGATGTCTGTCTATCCCAGCAGCCTGGGAGACTGCCCAGTTTAGGGGGAAGCTTCCTGTGGGGACTCAGGCTTGCCCCTGCCTATCTGTCCCGACGTGGCTCCACTTACAGCCCGGGGAGCAGACTCCAGGTGCTGTGATGGAGGCGTCACACAGCCCAGCCTCCCTAGGAAAGAGTGGCGCCTTCCCAGCATATGGGCATCTGAGGTCAGCCTCGGGGGAACAGTGACAGTTCACTAGGAGACAGAGAAGGACGGTGGTGGCATTTCAGAGGGGACCCCCGCCAGACCAGGGGCAGAGAGGTGAGAGCCGTTGTGCTTGTCAGAAGCACCACTAGGCTTGGCTGACTTGAAGCACAGAAAGAACCAGCAGAGGAGGAGGAGGTGACAGACACAGTTGTACCTGTGTGACCCGTTAGAGACTTAGCATTCACTCCATTGTGGAAGCTTCCTGTTCCTGCAGCCAAGCTTAGTGCACACAACCTTAGTGACTTCAAACAATACTGTTTTTAGTGTTGGAGGGCAGAGATCTGAAGTGCACTTTATTTGGGTAAAGTCAAACGTTGGTAGGTCTGCGTTCACTCTGGAGACTCTGGGGGAGTGTGTTTCCGTCGTATCTCCCAGCTAGAGGCCACTTGCATTCCTTGGTCAGCTGTTCCTCCCTCCCCTTCTGAGCCAGCGAGTGTGGAGTCTACAGATCTCCATCCATCGCTTTCTCTCCTCCTCCCCCATTGCCACATCTCTTCTTCTGATCCCTGCCTCCCTCTTGTAAGACCCTTACGATGACACTGTGCCCACCTTTGTAACCCAGAGTCATCTCCCATCCCCGATTCTCAGTCGCATGTGCAAGCTTCCTCCAGCCTTGTAAGACTGACTTTCCTGGGCTCCAGAGTGTCAGGAGGACCTGAGCCTCTTTGCAGGGCCGGACCCAGAGGCTAAGAGGAGGAACATGTGTTTGTCCTGGAGAAAGAAGTACTTCATGCCCTGAGAGCCCTTTACAGCTACTTCAGAAAGCCTTACAGGGCAGGTCTGCACAAATGAGTTAAGAATGAGAGAGGGCAGCCTAGGAAGAGAGGACAGAAGCCTGAGGTGCCCATAGTCATGTCAAGCTTTCTCTCCAACACTCTGCGGAGAGGGCTCGGGCTGGCCATGCTGGGGACACCAAGGAAGAGCTCTGCCACTAGAGAAAGAGGACCCAAGGGGAGCAGGGCCCTGTGGTGTATGTAGTCACCCTAGGAGGGCAGAGAGTGACCCTGTAGGGTCAGCTCCAGGCTCTGGGCCCAGAGGGAAATAGGCTGCGTCCCTCTGTTGGAAGAAGGTGTTCAGGAAGTGTCGGAGAGTGGAGGGCCCTGGCCTGGCCTAGCACAGGCCGCCGTGCAGACTCCTGACATCATGAATTAGGTGCTGAGCCACCAGGGGTCCTAGACGCCTCAGGTAAGAATGTGAGACTGAATCTTAGATGGGATCTGGAGTCTGCATGAGATTCAGGAAGTTTGGCAGAGAGGGAGCTTCATGAGTGTTTGCTGAGTGAAAGGGGAGATCCAGAGTTTCCTGTGGTGCCACCCACAGACACCTCGACATTGGCTCCCCAATGTGATAGAGTCCCCAGCATCCCTCACTGGGTGCTTAGTCGTGGGAATTCCTGAGGGAGAAAATCCACCACCACTGTAGTCCCCATCACCCATGTCATAGTGTGCACCAAGTGGACACCATGTCCCAGAGGCCTGGGGCAGACTGCGCCAGCTCCATCACAGTGAAGGGGAACCAGCCTGTACCTGCGCAGATTGTCTCAAGGCCAGTTCCTGCTGCTGGGAACTTGGCCCAAGAGCGCCATGGCTCCATCGTCCTGTGAGGCGTGTATGTGGACAGTCCTCACCCCCGTTTACAGCTGTGCATCTGCTGCTGGCTCTCTCGGTAGGTTTGGGCGAGTTACTTTCCTTCTTTGCTCATTTGTAAAAGAAAAAAATGTGTGGCCACATGTCAGATATCCACGGTCTTCTTTCTGAACCACGAGTGTGGATTTGGGTTAGAAGCCACTAACGAGCATCAGGGTCCTCCACAGCAGGAAGCCCATCCCAGCTCAGCACACGCAGAATCATTGCAAACGGCTACATCCGCACAGGACGGGTTTATTTCACTGGAAACATACGGTGCTTAAAATCATTCCTCTAGTGACTGCTCCTAAACTCTGGCTCTAGAATTATACTTCATTCTGGTTTCTTTTATCAGTTTAGCAGTGGCAGAGAGGAAGGTTCCATCGACCTATCACTGCTTCCCTGGCAATTTTTTAAACTACGTAACCTTAACGTTCTCTGTACTTTCTGTCATTACTGGCTCCGAGCCCCCCAGAGCCAAGTGCCTTTGGAGGAGAGACTAGCTGTGCACATGTGCGTTTGGGACAGTGCCATTCCTGGGTGTTCATGAGAAAGAGCAAGGGAATGTATTTCTGGGTGTGTGATGAAATAAATAACATGTGTTCTTCTCTTCTGACAGCTGAAGCAATGGAAGGCATTTGAAGGGGAAAACCAAACAATCAGACGCATGGCCAAGTATTTCAGCACTCCCAGCAAAAGCTTCCATCCGCAGTTTGGTGATGAGCAGAACTGCCACCCTCGGGATGAGCGGAGCTCCATGGAGAGGCTGCTCACAGAGGTGAGCCACGCCTGCCCGCCCAGGGGTCCCGAGGAAGAGCTGAAGCCACACGTGGTCACCCTTGCAGCTGTCATAGCCAGCATTCTCTCCTCCTCTCCTCTCGGCCTCCAGTGAGCACAGATGGGCTCCCGGGTCCAGTGGCAGAGTCAAGTGCTGATCAAGGAAACATACTCATAACTGTGGCAGGAATTAGCAGGGAAAAATTAAGTGTGGAGAGTTAGAACAACAGGAATGGGGGAGCCAGGGATTCAGTCCACAGCAGTGAGAGAGCTCTAGGGACAAGAGTTAAAGGTTAAGTAGAAATCAGCTGAGCGGAGGGTGTGGGAACAAGCGTTCCTAGCTGGGGGAACAGCACTGGAAAGGCCCTGAGTTGCCGTGGAGATCAGCATCCGCTTTCCAGAGAGCAGTGCCCTCAAGTTCAAGAGCCTATGGGGCCCTACTGCCTTCTCCAGTGGCCAACCCAAAAAACTCCTGCCGTATCTGCATGTGGGGACAAAGAACTGGATGTTACCGCAGCAGGGGGCCCCAGGCAGCCCCACCCTTCCGCCTTCTGTTCTTGAGCCAGAGCTGGCCGCTGTCCTAGACAGAGGCGTGTGGTCCCCAGGCGGCATGTGGGCAAGCATGAAAGCTGTGTTCCTCAGGAAGAAGGCACAGGGACCAGGGGATTAGTATTCTGATGCCACTAAATCACATTCCCAATCATGTTTGGCACAGATCACACCTGAATAGGTGGACAACTGTACATTTTGGTAGCAGGTCTGCTCCTGAGTGTCATCAGTCCTCCTGAGACGAGGTGTGGGGGACACCTAAGGGCCACCATGGGTGAGGCTGAGCTTGCCAGGCACCTTTGGACCCTGCCCTCTGCTCTCTCCCCAGACCTTGGCTCTGGACCAGTTTTTGTCCATCCAGGTATCTCTTCTGCATTTCTTTATTATCAACTAAACTTTTTCAGGGTACCATTTCAAGGCCAGCCTTCTCCCCACCTGGCAGGGAGCAGCCTTTGCCCCTGATGCTCTTTAAGACTTCAAAAAGGCATTTTACCCCCCACTACACAGAAGGCCAGAGACTTGGCTGGAGCAGCCAGGGTGGTTTTTAGTTCAAATCAGCTCATTCCAGGATAGCCTGGTGGACTGAGTCCTCAGCCCGACACTGATCTGTGCTCCCACCACACTGCCCCGCTTTCCACACAGCTGAAGCTGCTCTATCCAAGCAAATGTCACAGGAGGAGCTCGAAGGCGTGCAGAGGCAGAGGTGGTAAAAGGCTGCCTCCCAGAGCCTGTGACACCTGGAACATTTTTCCCCAGACCAGGCCTGAGGCCCTAAAGCGGTAAGGGAGAATCTGTTGTCTGTGCCTCACATCAGCCCTGTCCCTTAGATCAGCCCAAACCGCTCCTGCTGCAGCAGAGCATGCATCCTGACCCCAGCCTGCTGGTTTACCTTCCCCTCCTCTGCAGCCCTCTCTGGGCAGGGGATCTGCTCTCTCTCGCCCTCTTGGACAGGGGTCCCCCAGAAGCTGTTAGGGACAACATTTGTTCCTGGCCTCCCTGTCATGTGATGGCAGTACCCAGAACCTTCCACACTATGCAGCACAGCAAGCTGGCCTGTAACTTTCCATCCTAGCACTTGAGAATCAAGAAGCTGGCTCCATTTCTCCTTAGGCTCTGCAGCCCCTGGAATACACCTGTGTACCTTAGCTTACCCCTGAGTACCAAGAGTAACCATTAATAAGCTCATTTCCAACCAGCAGCCACAGATTGGTTTTGTTGTTACAGTGGTGGGCCTCATAGCACACCTCTAATCATCAGCCAGGGATATAGCTCAGTGGCATAGTGCCTACGTGGCAAGTACAAGATCCTCAGTTCAAATCCTAGTAACAACAACAAAAAAATAGTATCGTCCATAGTGGAACTAGAGTCCCACCTTCTTCTCTGGAAAAGAGAAACTTACTGTTTACATTGATCTTTCTAAATCTGGCCACAGGCAGTGTCAAATGTTTTTGTTTGCTGGTGAAAGAGTCCTAGCAAAAGGCCCATACCGTTTTCTAGTACTCAAAGGAACTTATAGGTAAGGCACAAAAGGGCATCACCTAGATTTCACCAGTAGGAGAGGGAGCATTGTCATCAGCTGATGGCTTTTTCCTGACCCCGTGAGGCAGTAGTGGCCTCTGAAGCATGGTAGATTTAGTGGTGAGGGACACGTGGAAGAGGGGAGCGCCCAGGGTCCCATGGCACGCATCACTACCACCCTGGAAGATGCTCAGAGGGAGAGGGAGAGACCCAGCATATCCCAGACCCCAGGAAGAGCCGGACTGTTTCCTGTTACTCATCTGCTGTGCTCCTGGCAAGCCTGTGGTTATCTGCACTCACTGGGAAATGCCCAGCCCTAAAGTACTCTGCAGGCAGGGAGAGGCAGGCAGGTGCTCACCTGGAAGTCCCTGCTGCTTGAGTCAGTGGCCCCCTGAGGCTCCTGGCTGTTCTCCAGGTGTGAGGTAGACCAGACCAGAGTGAGAAGAGGACTGTCCTTCCTGCTTATGCATGGGACAGCAGCTCTGCTTAGGCATCACTGCCTGATTATTGGTCTATTTCCCTTCAGTGACGCCCCCTTAGAGGATCATTTCTGGGCAGCCTTCCATGAAAACTTGGGAAGTAACCACAAGTTGGGCAACTTGCATCCGTTACCCTGTGGTATCTCAGGCATGGTCGAAGGCTGTCCACATGCTCATCCTCAGCCTTCCAGGCAACAAAAGGCAACATGTGGTATCAGATAAGCCCTTCCTAGAACACAGTGCTTGCGCTAGTGCCTTCCCCCACACTCTTGACCCTGTGTCATCTGCCCCAAGACCATCTGTCCCCAGGAAGACCTCAGGACTTTCCAAAGAGGAACATCCAGCCTGAGGCGTACGACAGAAAGACATACCGAGCGCAGTCATGCCTCGCACACCCACCACTGATACTCCTGTTCCCACAGCCTTGCTATTATGATGGCACACCTCTGCATCTGTCACCTGCCAGCTGTCCTGGGTACCGTCTGTTTATCCACTAACATCTGTGCAGCAGGTGGGCAGCTCAGCTGCAGATCTGCTCCGACCTCATTCATCTCCTGGGCTCCATTTTTGCGATTGATTTAAGCTATCAGGGACGAAGCCCCAGTTATATTTTTTATTTGTCTATCTGAAGTTTCTACAGTAACTCTGATACCCATGGTTCATTAGGAGACATTGACAGCTAATATTGCTAGATGGTAGCTTTGGCCTCTCACTCCCTGAGGCCCAGCCCAGGAGGTGATGACACAAACCCACGATTCTCATTGGCCTCTTCTGGCTCCAGTCTGATTTATTTGACTCAGGAATCTTCACCCTTCCCCTGTTTTGCCATTTTCTAGACTGTGTAGCAAAGAGAAAAACATTTTCCCTGTTTGTTTGTCCCTTGGAGACGTGCTTCAGATTCTTCTATAGTTTGCAAAAGTGTGAGCACCCCAGAGTTAGACCATCCCAGACACTGCCCGGCTGGTATCTTGCAGAGCGACCTGACCCTGTCAGCTCTTAGGGAGGTATAGGATGCTGCATCCTTCAGCAAGTGGCTAGGTGGCGGTGCCTCTCTCTTGCAGTGAGATGGAAGGGGGAGATGTAGACCACAGCAACCATCAATTATAGGAGCTTTTATTAGGCACCATTTGTCACTCGTACTATGTGCATTGTGTTCATCAGCTCTTTTCCCCAGTGGAGCTGCCTCCTCAGGGCCTGGGGTCACCAGCACCCATCAGGAAGAAGTGGGATTTAAATCAACATCATCCAGTGCCACACTTTGCCACTGTGGGAGGCAACGTGGAACTCAGCATCTTTGGTTGACTGATTTACTTTTATTTTACAGAAAAATGCTGTAATTGAAAGCCTGCAGGAGCAAGTGAATAATGCCAAAGAGAAGCTAGTGAGGCTGATGTCTGCTGAGTACGCCTGTGATCCCCTAGAGCGGGTCATCTCCCTCACATCTTCCCAGGGTAACGATCTCCCAGCTGCAGCTTCTGCCCATGGCCTGGCACGAGGACCCTCAGAAGGGCCCCCTGCTCCTCAGAATGATCCCAGCACAGCTGCCCAGGACTCTTATTGCACCTCAGTGCCCTCCCCACACATGCAAAACCCCCAGGTCCCTGGGAGGAACCCCAGCCCCTCCCCGGGCCAGAAGAAGATTCCTGACTTAAAACATTTCTCTGATCACTTAGACTTGGATAATAGCCAGAAGCCACAGGCCGAGCAGAGCCAGAATTCAAAAAAAGACCAAGGGCCCATGGCTCCCAGCCAGGATGCTATCCCAGGCAGAGGGGCCTCTGATCCCCAGAGACAGAGAGAGAACTTAAGGGATCCCTCAGAGAAGCTCCCTACGGTCAGTTCGATTGTTAGGGAAAAGCTTCAGGAAGTCATACAAGAGCTGGGCCTTGGCCCCAGGGCTCCCCTCTCCAACCCCCTGTCTTCTCCCCAGCAGCTCTGGAAGGGCAGTACTTCCCACAGCCCACAGAAGATGCCCATCTCCAGGGGACTAGGCTTCAGCCCATACATAGTGAGGAGGAGGAGGCGGGCTGCTCAGCTGGCTGGCTCATGCTTTCCTGGCTCTGTGCCCTCCTATGTGGGGCATCGGACCAATCAGACTGTTTCCAGGACACATAGTGGGCTGAATGTGCCCAGTGGGGACAGTCCCAGGCCAGATCACCAAACCACTGGTTCTAAGGTACCCAGGTCCTCATCCAGGCAGCCTTCACTTCGCTCAGATCCTCAAGAGAGACTGTGTATTGCAGCAGGCAGCATACAAGGCCAGGCAGAGCGCCTGGAAGCCACGGTGGGCAATGCAGCCTTTCCTCGCCAGCCTGCAACCCATGCCTGGACACGAAGGCCCGCTGCACCCTGCCTACCCACGTTAGACCTGCACGAGCAGCAGCAGCTGCAGTTCTCGGGGTCCTCTGGCTGCCCCATCCTGTCTTCTCAGTGTAACTACCTTGACACCGAGTCCAGCAGCTCAGATGAGTTCTTCTGCCACTGCCACAGGCCCTACTGTGAAATCTGCTTCCAGAGCTCCTCTGACTCTAGTGACAGTGGCACATCAGACACTGACCCCGAACCTGCTGTAGGACTGGCCTCCTGGGAAAAGCGCTGGGCCCGCTCCAACCCCATCGTGAACTTCAAAGATGACTTGAGACCCACACTGGTGTGAAAAGCAGCAGGGTTGGTCTTGCCAAAGAGGTCAGTCCAGGTTGAGCTGAAGTAAGACCTTCGAGAGGACAGCAAGGACCTGGTCCGTGGGCCACACACACGGCCCTGCGCTTGGCCAGCTCTGAACACATTTCCACTGTTCAAGTGCACTTCTCACGTTCTAAAAAGAGGGGTATTGCTTGTCTTGCTACTACCTCATAGGTTACTGTCCAAGACTCCAGCTGAGGGACTGTAAAAACACTGACTCCTTGAATAAAAGGTGCAAAATGAGCACAAAGAGCTTTCTTTGTATCTCAGGCTGCATCCTCTAAGACTCTTAATATGTACTAGTGGATGACTGGATGGACAGAAAGGTGGACAGATGCACAGGAGGTTTCTGCAGAACCTAAGTCTCCCATGAAGCTGGCAGACCTACCAGATCTGTGTAAGAGCACAGATCTCTTACACGCTTGGTCTTCCACTTCTGGAAGAGGTACTCTTCTCTCTACAGAAGTTGTAAGCAGTGCAGTGCTGTTGTGGTTTCTGGTCAGTCCCACTCCTCTCACGCACCTCACTAGTCTTCCCATGTCCACCCTCATGGCATCTCACCACTGGCCCTGAGGCAGTCAGACCTGCTGTGTCCACAGCCTCTGCACTTCTGTGTTTGCTTAAAACATCTCCTGGCCATGTAGCCCACCCCTTGGGCCTCCCAGTGGTGCTGTATCATGCTGGGGGAAGCACACACCAGCAGTCTGCGTTGGGCTTGGAAGGACCTGCTGGTCATGAGGTGCTTTCAGTGCCACTGGGGTCCAGTGACCACCAATGACGTACCTAAACCTGGAGACAAAATGGGGAAATAGGAAAAAGGAGGGACGAGAATGCAAGAAAGAAAGCGGGCTGTGAACATTCCACTTGAGTTGGCTCAGAACTTGGCAAGACCCAAAGTCAGTAATTCTTAGAATAATGCTGTGAAATAGACACTCTTTGTTACAGAAGGAAATTTGAGGCTTAGCAACTAAGGTCACTTTGCCAGTGTCATACTGCTGGATGGGGAGTTGGCACACAGCAACCTGGACTCCTGGCTGGTGGATTTCCTGGCGGGGAGGAGGGGAGGTTATCCTTTACTCTTCCAGAGTGGCAGGTGAGGCTCACAGGGGGACAGTAAAGCAAAGGTGATGTGAGACAGCTGTGAGGTGCTCACCCTGCAGCACAGGTTGACAAAACTGGGCTCCTGGCCTCTACTTCCTTCTGCACCTCCAAGGATCAGGGGAGTTGGTAAGGATTTTGTCTCTGACCAAAGCCGTGGGGAGAGCAAGCTGGGCTCACTTCACTTGTTGCTGAGCTGGTTGACATTTATAGCCTCCCACCCTAGCCTGTGCATGCATCTGTGGGTGCACACAGGTTTTTGTAGAGGGGTTTGGGCCCAAGAGAAGGGGCATTTGGCCCTAAACTTTTCAAAGATTTATCAGATTTTCAAGTCTGCTAACACCCTGTGATCCTCCAGATGCTGAACCAGGAGGTGCTCCTGGTCGCACAGCTTCTGTCTATTTTAAAACCAAGATTTTATAATTTATTCCATGCGTGGGTTTGTAGTCTCTGCATGTGTTGTTTGTATGCTATCCAAGTGGTACCTTAATAAAAGAGGTCAACTCTAAGGCAAATTTTTTTTTTCCTGACTCGTCTTGGGCTGTGGAGGAAGGACTTTAGGGAGACTGAGCACCCAAAGCAGCAGAAACAGAAGGAGTCAGTCATCTTGGGGTTCCCCAAGGTTCCAAGCACATCTTCTGCCTCTCCTCCATTTGTAAGAGATTTTCCTGTAGCCTCTAGGTGCAGCAGCCTCTGCCAGAAACACACTCACTCGTGGAAAGAAGCAACATTGCAGACCCCAGCGCCTCCCCACCACTGGAGATCCATGGCTGGGTCCTTCCCCTTCAGCTCTGCCCCTCCAGGCGCCACTGAGCCTCTGCTTGTCAATGTGGAACGTGCAAGCTCTCAACTCTTCCTGGCCTCTTACTCTGTCTGTTCTAAACCTTATTCCCAACTTTCCCACATCTCCATTCTTTTCCATCTAGAATTTCATGTGCCATTTTGTTCACCCTTCAGCACTCAGGTTGGGTTTTGCCATTTCCTGAGCATCCCCAAATAAAAATCCACCCCCTGCTTAAACCAGGAAGGAGTTTCATGATTCACATTCTGGACTTGGCTGTATAGAGGCTTCTGCTATCCATTCCCCCTGTGATGGCTTTGTAAGCTGTGCTAGGCTAGTTGGAAAGGCAGAGAGTCAATCCCAAATACTCCTGACTTATTTGGTTCAGAAGCACCGTGACTGCCTGTCCCCGACCTGCTGTTGGCTTTATATACCTCTGCCTCTCTTCCTTGCCAACTCTTTTCCCAATGCTTTCAGTTCTCAAAGGGATGAGTGCGCCATGACTTTTGGCATGCTTTTGAAGAAGGAGCAGTAAATTGTGCGGAGGAATCCTGGATAAGTAAACATCACCTCCGCTGCCGTCACCCCAGCTCTTTCTGTAAGTCCTAAGGCGGAGCATGCAGCCAGGCCTGATCTGACCCCAGAATACACTCTGCAACAACTGAAAATCTTAGAGTTGAAAATGTCTGTCCTGATAATCAAGTCTGTCTGTATCTTCTGGCCTGTCCCCAAATCTCTTTCCTTAAAGGAGATGTTATGACGCTCGTAGGAATATGGGAGGTGTGTTTTTATAGTACCATATCACTTTGAAAATGATAAAGAGAAAAGTCATTGCACATACAAATGCATACTCTTCTGCATATTATAGTTTGATGTGTCTTCTCATATTCCAGGTTCCTAAAAGCATATTTGTCCCTCCTCAAAAGTACTCATTCACATGTCTCTGGAGACAAACAGATGAAACAGCAGGCAAGGAAACAGAAGAACAAAAGAACCCTCCTCTGGGGCAAGGGCAGAACATCAAAACAGAGGTGAAGCGGGGCTGGGGATTTAGCTCAGTGGAGTAAGCACCTGCCTTGCAAGCAGGCAGTTGTGAGTTCGATCCCCGGTACTGATAAAAATGAAAAAGACAAAAAAAAAAAAAAAAACCCAGAGATGAAGCGTCTTGATTCTCTGCCTTTGAATGAGTGAAAAACTTGAAACATCACTGCCAGACCCAGAAGTGGCTGAATTCAGAAAATGACAGTGTTTGATACCTCTTTGGGGGAAGGTGGGATGGAGGAATGGAGTTAATAGAAATGAAACAAGATGGTTCTGATACCTCCTGATCAAGATACCTCCTGAATCACTGGCTCATTTTCGGGTAGTAAGCAGTCTTGGTAGGAGAACATGTGTTCATCATGGTCACTCTCCCCTTCTTGCGCCCCCTTTCTCAGATTCCTCCGCCCTCTCTGACTGCCTCTGACCAGTTATGTGAGGGGCTGATGCATCCTGGTGTTAAAAGACAGAGAGCACACCCCCTGGTCCTCAGTCTTTGCTATTTCCCACCTCTGGTTCCTACCTGATCTCTCTCCAACTCAGAAATGATCCTGGTCTTAGTATCCCCTATCAAACCGCAATGAAATGTGGGTCTGTCCTGGGTTATTTAGACCAGTACATAGGTCACAGAGAAACAGCAAATCACAAGATAAAAGAATATGTGTGCTTGGCAAATGTGGGTCAGGGTTTCTTTCCTGGGACTTGTGGCCTCAGAGAGCAAGTGTTAGGGAGTTGCCCTGGAGAGATCTGTGGTGATTATGAGAAAAGCAAACGGATAGGGGAATAAAAGAAGAAAAATGTCTAAAGAGCCGGGAGAAACAAGAGGAAGATAGATGTAGCATAGTCTGTGCTGGGCTTGGTGAGTAGATTGCTCTTGGCAGTTGACTTTATAAAATGTGCTGGCTTCCATGTACAGATGAAAGTGTATAAAGTTTGCTTCCGTTGAAGAAAAGCAGAGATACATTTTCTGAGTCCTTTTTCCCGTGTGTGTGTGACTGTGAGTTCACTTCTCCTTTCCCCACTGAACTGTGAGTTTGTCTATCCTTGTTCCTGGCACATGATGGAGCCTCTGTGAGTGTCTGTCAAAAGAAAGAAATCATAGAAAAAAGGATGACGCAGTCTGAACCGTCTACAGGGACCCAGCGAAGTGGCTCACAGAAGGACACCTAGGAAGCGATGCCTGTGTAGCTCATCTGTTCACATGCAGTACTGCCATGTTGCTGATTCACCCAAGTCTAAAGCCCCCGTGGTATCTGAACTTTTCATCGAAAGAAGGCATTTTAGAGGGCTGTTCTTTCCGCTAACTTTTGCACAATAATTTTCTGTTCTCACTGCAGTGCCGTGTCTCACTGCAGTGCCTCACATGTCTGTGTGGCTTTCAACAAGATGTCTAACTTCTTTATGATGACTTCAGTTTCCCAAAGTGTTCAGCTGTCTCCATGAGGTCCTCTTGAAGGCTAAATGAGCTCATATGTAACTCTCCTGGGCTGTCCTTTACATATAGCATTATAATGTTGTTTGTTAAATAAAAACAAGTGGATAAAATGTCCTAGAAATGTGTTTGGAAACAGTCTGACATTCAGAAGTCCTCTTGATGTTTCCCTGCTTCCCATCGACATTTCCCATCGTTGCTTTCAGTTTCTTCCTACAGGAGGACACCGGGTAAAGTGAAGATGGCCCTTTGGTTTAACTCACTTTTCAGGCAACAGAGTTTTCTCCTGAGTCCTTCTCAGCCACCTGCAGGACTCAGATTATATGACAAAGGAGAGGGATCACTGGCAAGTGAACAAATCCAATTATTTTTTCCTTTAGGGTAGAGCCAGGAAACATGAAGAATGCTTTGTAGAAATATATACATTTTACAATAGAAAAATACGCAGCATATACCTACTATGTGCCATTTAATACTTGTCTCATTTAATACTTGCAACCAAGCTAGGGATATAGCTCAGTGGTAGAGCACTCAGCTAGGAGTTACAAGGTCTGTGGTTCAATCCCCAGTCCAACAAAAACCAAAACAAAATAAACATAGTCACCCAACAAAGTAGTGATTGTCTGTTACACAGATGAGAAAATTTTAGTTAGTAGAGGTTAGGTAACACAGAAAGTCACTCAACCTGTTAATGGCAGAGCCAGAATTTGCACTGAAAGCTGACTTGATTCCTAACCCCTCTTTGGATTCCCTAGTGCTCTTTCCAGAACACATGCTCAGCTGTGCTCCAGAACAGAGAAGAAATGGCAACGTGGCAGAACAGGGACCTGGCTGAGACTTCCTTAGGACTCCTAGGTGTCCTTAGGAAAAATAAGCTGGTCTGGTTCTGTGAATCTGTTGCAAAATCCTCTGTCCCGAATCATGGAATGGGCGTCCTGAAGGCTGGAAGGCAGCTCTGTGAAACTACCTGGTCACTCCAGGAAGTTCTGTGTTGAATACACGTGATAGTGAAAACAAGCAAGCTACTCATTTAAGAACAGTCGATCTTTCAAGCTGAAAATCTTTTGTTTGAGCATTGGCACAAAAAGACGCAGGGCAAGAAATCCAGAAGGCCCCGTAGCACCCAGGAATGGGACAGATCTGAGATGCGCTGGAAGTTCCGCCTATCCAGAACTTCCCTTGCTCCTGCCAAGTGAGGGTGCAGATTCCAAGCACACAGTCCAGCCCTGCTGGGACTCAGCACTTCTCAGGTCAGCCCTCTCTCCTTCCTTTACACCACCAAGACTGACATGGCCTCCCCTTCTGTCCAGTTCCAGCTGTCCCTGGATTTATCAGGCAATAAATAATTTACTCGCAATAGGCCCCCCTCCCGACAGCAATTTTTTTGTTGATTTTAAACTGTTACATAAATCCTTTATTGTACACTTTTTACATGATCATAGCTTTCCTCTCCAAGTGGATTATCAGAGGCTGGATAGCAAGAGCCATGTTTAATTTTTCATTGCATTTCCACACTATCTCGCATAATTCCTGATGCCCAGTAGATCAGGATCAACATTTCCAGGTTTGTTTTGAAGATGAGCCTACTCTCTCTGTGCTCCCATTTTCCGCATGAACCAAGAGTATCCTGAGAAGATAAAAAAGAATTTGGTGATATTTTTCTCTCAGACTGTACCTGAAGTATAGCATTTCGGAGATTCAGTTTCTGTGTCATCGGAAAGAAGAGAAACAAACACTATGATCCCACAATGAGCCAAAACTGTGATGGGTGCTTTCATGCAATGCTGGAAGAAACTGAGCTAACAGGACCCTAGTAGGAAGGTTCCTGTCTTTCTGTCTTTTGTGCTGCTATAAAAGAACCATAGACTGGGAAATGTATAAGGAACAGAAGTATGTTTCTCACGATTCTGGATGCTGTATGCTCAAGAGCAAAAATATGCCAGATAGATGGCTCTCTTTTGTTATGTCTTTTCACATCATCTTCTCTCAATGCATATTTTTATGTCCAAAACTAAAACTAGAAATTCCATCTGACTCAGCTGAACCTCTCCAGGTATCTGCCCAAAAGAGTTAAAGTGGTCCTATTACAGTAAACCATACATACACATGTTTATACAGTGAAATTCACAGCAGCTAAATTATGAAAACAGCCTAAATGCACATGGTGGATGAATGGATAAAGAAATGTAATACACACACACACACACACACACACACACACACACAGAGTAATGCTCTGTTCGTGAACACTTTTGTTT